CTTGGCTGGAGTACAGTGGCACAATCTTGGCTCCCTGCAACTTCTACCTTCCGGTTCAAGCAATTCTCCTGCCTCAGCCTCCTGAGTAGCTGGAATTACAGGCGCCCGCCACCATGCCTGGCCAATTTTTGTATTCTTAGTAGAGATGGGGTTTCACCATGTTGACCAGGCTGGTCTCGAGCTCCTGAACTCAAGTGATCCGGCCCCCTTGGCCTCCCAAAGTGCTGGGATTACTGGTGTGAGCCACCTCACCCAGCCTTGTTTTGAGATTTAGATTGTACATTTATGTTCATTGGTACTTTACCTCAAGATGATTTTCATATTTAGCTAGCATTTTTAGGTGTTGAAAGGTATTTTCAGGGTAAATTAATGTTCTATTTGCCTGGAATGGAAGATATTAAATATTAATATTTTTAGTTAATCCATTAGCGTAAAATGAGAGAGCTAATATTGTCTATTATACCATAAAATAAGACTCTGCCTTTTAAAGTAGAAAATATGGAATTTATCCTTTGCACTATTGCCTCAAAAGTGACAATCTTCTTGGCAACCAAGTTGCATTACGTTTTCAAAATCTGTTATTAATTTGTATGCATTGTGCAATCTGAACAGAAGTGGTAGGAAAAAAATGGAGATTTTTTTCTTTGTATTGTTAACTATTTAACTGTAGATGTCTATGTGACTGTGAAGTATCCTTTTACCTTCTCAATAAAATGTTACTAATTAGCCAGGGTGCAGTGGCTCACGCCTGTAATTCCAGCACTTTGGGAGGCTGTGGATCATGAGGTCAGAAGACCGAGACTCTCCTGGCTAACATGGTGAAACCTTGTCTTTGCTAAAAATACAAAAATTAGCTGAACACGGTGGCATGTGCCTGTAGTCCCAGCTACTCGGGAGGCTGAGGCGGGAGAATTGCTTGAACCTGGGAGGTGGAAGTTGCAGTGAGCCGAGATCACGCCTCTGCACTCCAGCCTGGGCGACAGAGGGAGACTCCCTCTCAAAAAAAAAAAGTTACTAATTATTGATTAATAGGTACAAAGTGAATCAATTTGTGATGTTTTTCTCATGGTAATTTTGTGTTCGAAGTTCACATCCTTAGCTAGAAAAGAAAAAATACAAGACCTTGCTCATTAAATCCTAAAATATAAGGAACTAAAAATAAAGGCAGGATGGATGTCTCAGAATTCCATTTATTTTTTAATTCTCTAATAAGAATAGGGATTTCTAATATAGTCTGTTCAACAACTTTATAATAGAATCCACAGCAAAAGATATGTTTGATAGTAGTTTCACATTTTGTCATAAGAAAATAGTAGGAGATTGAAGTTGTTGCACATCATTTTAGTCCAAATGTCATCTGATTACCTCAGGTGCCTAAAATTATTGACTTTCTTACATTGTTTGAGGGATATATTTTTGTTTTAACCGTAAATAGCACACAGTGTTTTATTTTATTTATTTATTTTCTTGAGATGGAATCCTGCTCTGTCACCCAGGCTGGAGCATGATCTCGGCTCACTACAACCTCCTCCTCCTTGGTTCAAGCAATTTTCCTGTCTCAGCCTCCTGAGTAGCCGGGATTACAGGCACATGCCACCATGCCTGGCTAATTTTTCTTTCTTAATTTTTTTTTGCGGGGTGGGGGGAAGTATTTTTTAGTAGAGATTGGATTTTGCCATGTTGGCCAGGCTGGTCCTGAATTCCTGACCTCAGGTGATCCATCACCTCAGCTTCCCAAAGTGCTGGGATTATAGGCGTCAGCCAGCATGCCCAGTCACACACTGTTTTATTTGGTAGATTTCCTCAAGTCTTTTTGGAAGCAAGTGAAATAAAATTATGAAAAATGAAAACGAATATCCTTCTTCCCTTCAGTCTCTGTGGCTCAGTCTTAAGGCCTAAACATTGATACATGTTTGTTTTATGGTAGTCATAATTGTGATGTGGCAGTGAGAGATGAGAGAAATATTTTGAATCACGGCCTACAAGATATGATGTTCATTATTGTTCTCAAGTTATTTCATATGTTTTTTTTTTTCCCCCTGAAGAAAACCCAAGATCTTGTATGGCAGGGACTGTCTTCTACTTTTATGTACCTCTATTTTCTTTTTGTCAAACTTCAGGCCCATATAAATTTCCAGCTTGTTTAAAACATTTTTGCCTTGGTTACCTTGTACAATGGGATCTTGAACCTCATACCTGGGAATTTCTCTTACTATTCATAGAAAAATTATGCACATAGTGGAGAAAAGCTCAATCTAAGTTGACTTCATAGAACTTCCATATTTAGGGAAAGACCTTAAGATGTCTTGCTGGATCATTTGCTATTTGATATCTCCAGATTGCTCCTTATCCCAATGAAAACAGATAAAGGAGGTTGTACGGTAATTAGCTAATTCTGTAATTCTTGCCAAGATAGTAGGGGTTGTTCATTGTGAACACATTCTGCCACCAACAGCTGCGTTAGAACATTGTGTTTATTTGTGAGAGAATTTGAGTATGAACAATTTGGTTTAAAGATTAAATGGGGGAATAGATTATAATGATAAAACTGATCAATTTTTTAAATTAAAAATTACTGTTATACAGAGAAATTTACATTTAAAGCATTAAATATACTGAGCATTGTAGAAATTGAAAATTCTGTCTGTATTTTATTTGAAAGAGTTTCTAGCTCCCCTTGCCTTTTGAGAAGTAGACAGATGTACTGGAGGCAACCTAGCTTGGCATGATGAGCAACAGATTGGAACACAGAGCAGAACTAGGTGTACAGTGTCAGGAAGTACAACTCAGTGGGTATTTTCTATGCACAAGGAACTCTGACAGGCACTATAGTGGGAGAGGGTGATTGAGGTGAATATAAGCATGAATAAGAAGTAGTCTCCTAAATAATGTAAAATAATAATGCAGTGGAAATGGAATTAGGTAAGTAAATAATAGAAAACTGAAACATGTTAAACACAGTTTCCAATAACATGGTAAAAAAAAGAACACAGGAAAAAGCAATGAATATTGATTAAGGACTCACAGAAGATGTCATTAAGAATATGACTTTTAAGTTGATTCTAGAAAAAGGGAAGTATTTTGTTAGATGGAAGATGGCAATATGAGTGTGAAGATCTCTTTTTGGAGGAACTGTTAAATATGGAAGTATGCATTGCCAAAACACCAATTTTATTGAAGGATAAAGGAGAACATAAAGTCAAACCCTGTAATAATTAACATTTCTATAATATTTTTATGTACATATTTAAAACTTTGATAACAGCTCAGGGAAATATGTATTACCACCCCCAATATATACATGGTCCTGTGTATTTTAATGGAAGGCTCTGGATTTGAAGGCTAACCTTGTCACTTAAAAGCTATATGACCTTGGGTATTATTTGGTATTACTGAGTCTCAGTTTTCTCATCTACCAGATACATATAATACATTTTTCAGTAAATCGTTTCAGGGCTGCTGCATAGACTGTACAGTGCATCATTCCAGGGGTGGTGTTCACACAGACCAGGGCTGACAATGTCTTTTTCTGTAAAGAGCCAGATAGAAAATATTTTAGGCTTTGGTAGCCATAAACCATAAAATATCTGTCACACCAACTCAACCTTGCTGTTACAACACAAAAACAGCCATAGGCAATATGTAAACAAATGGGTATGACTGTATTCTAATAAAACTTCATTTATAAAATTCGATTCTGGGCCAGATCTGTCCCACAATTCAAAGTTTGCTGACTACATAGGGCAAGATGTGAATGGTGCACCCTTGAGTTGTGTAATTCTGTGACATAGGATGTTTTAAAGAATAAATTACGTATAGCACAGAAATATTTCTAGTTTAGTACACGTGAATGCTCAATGATAAAAGTCTATCTACTTTTCTTTCTTCTCTTTTTAAAGATACTGCCATTGAATTCTTAGGTAAAGCACTTAAACTTTTGCCCTCTACTTCAGAATTCTCAGTAGGGAAGTAAAAACGATCTTCTACCAGATTAACTGTAATTAGGTATATGAGTTAGAGTGATAATAGGTGAATGTTGTTTTGAATTTCTTAAAGTCAATGTTAACTAGAAATTATAAGACATTGTTATAACTGAGTGCCATTGTATTAGCAATTTTAACTACAACATAATAGGCAATGTGAAGCCTAAACTGATGGCACTATTTGGTGTCTTATGTGATTTGCTACTATTCGTAAATTAAAATTTTTACCTGGAGAATATATAATGTTTTGGATTTCAGCATAATTAGCATATGGTCCTGATTTTGGTACCCACCACATAGTTTTTGTCAGACTGTCATTGCATCATTCTTGAAATATAGCTAATAATTGAAAAAGAGGCTTGTATTCTTTTAGAGATACCTAGAAAGAGCAGGTAAGATGTGAACTTTCTTTTGCTTTATTATAGTTCTATTAATGGTGTTCCTTTCAAAGAATATTTTCTAAGATGTTTTTTCCCTCAGCGCTTTAAAAAGTTTTCATATCAAATTATGTAAATCAAATGTTGATTAGGTACTAGAGCTGATTTTGACATTGCTTTTGAGTCTTAGTTTAGGAATAACAAACTAATTGCAAGTTTTAGAATATTATATGCTAATCATTATTGTGAGAAGATTATGATGTTGAACTGCCATACGTAATTCTGTTCTCCCACTCTTAATGATAAGAGAAATATTTTATTGTTGTCATTTTAACTGTGGAATAAAGGATTTCCTATTCTCATGTTTGAAAATATTTCCTTCCCCTTACTCCATATAGAAATATTACGTACATTCTACCTGCATTATGATTAAAATTTTTTATCGTATTAATAAAAAATTTTGTTACAATAAAAATTGATACAATAAACTTTTTGATACAATAAAAAATACTGATACAAGAAAAAATTTTAATCGTAATGCAGGTAGAATGTATATAATATTTCTATATGGAATAAAGAGAAGAAAATACTTTCAAATATGAAATAAAACGTAAAATATATATAAGATTTATCATTTTAATCATTTTTGAGTATACAATTCAGTGGCATTAGATATACTCACAATTTTGTTTAACCATCACCACCATCTATTTCCAAAACTATTTCATCAGTCCAAATCAAACTTCATACCCATGAAACAATAACTTTTCATTTTCTCCTTCCCCTATCCCCTGCCATCCTCTAGAAACCTCTTTTCTACTTTTCATGTCTGTGAATTTGCCTATTTTTGGCCTAGGTATACTGCATGTAAGTGTAACCATATGATATTTGTCCTTGTGTGTCTGTCTTATTTCACATAGCATAATGTTTTGAAGGTTCATCCATGTTGTAGCATGTATCAGAATCTCTGTTTTTAAGACAGAGTCTCGCTCTGTTAGCCAGGTTGGAGTGCAGTGGCACTACCTCAGCTCACCACAACCTCTACCTCCCAGGTTCAAGTGATCCTCCCACCTCAGCCTCCTGAGTAGCTGGGCCTATGGCACATGACCACCAAGTCTGGCTAATTTTTTTGTAGTTTTGGTAGAAAGAGGATTTTGCCATGTTGTGCAGGCTAGGCTGGAACTCCTGAGCTGAAGACATCTGTCTGCCTTGGCCTCCCAAAGTGCTGGGATTACAGGCGTGAGGCACGAGGCACCATGCCCAGCCTCAGAATCTCAATTTTTAATTACTGAGTAATTAACATTGCATGTATATACCACCTTTCATGTATCCATTTATCTGTTGAAGGACACTTGGATGTTTTCACCTTTTTGACTATTGTGCATAATGCTGCTGTAGAAATTGGTATACAAAGTGTCTGTTGAGTCCCTGCTTGGAATTCTTTTGAGCATATGCCTAGGAGTGGAATTGCTGGATCACACGGTAATTCTATGTCTAACCTTTTGAGGAACTGCCAAACTTTTTTACAGTGGCATGCATTGTGCTTTAACAGATAGTTTTGGAAGACTTTTTCTTACCTTATTTAAATTTTTTTTTTTTTTTTTTTTTTGAGACGGAGTTTCGCTCTTGTTACCCAGGCTGGAGTGCAATGGCACGATGTCGGCTCACCACAACCTCTGCTTCCTGGGTTCAAGCAATTCTCCTGCCTCAGCCTTCCGAGTAGCTGGGACTACAGGCATGCACTACCATGCCCAGCTAATTTTTGTATTTTTAGTAGAGACGGGGTTTCACCATGTTGACCAGGATGGTCTCGATCTCTTTACCTCATGATCCACCTGCCTCGGCCTCCCAAAGTGCAGGGATTATAGACGTGAGCCACCACACCCAGCCTAAAATGTTTCTTTTTAAAATAAGAAAATGTCTTGGATTTTCATAAATTGTTATTTGGGGGTAATAACATTTCTGTATTTGCCTTTTTCGTACTTTTTTATTTTTCCAAATTTGAAATATTAAATACTGATTTCTTTGGCCTGCATTCACCAAGAAGTTAAAAAGATCCTTGCATTCCAGCAAGTGAAACATGCTATAAATAAATCATGCTACTTCTCTAACTATTAATATTTAACACTTGGGATTCCCAAGCATTCTGAAACTTGTATGATAACAAAACACTAGATTTTGCTTATGTCCTAGAAAATG